GGAACTGCACTTTGTGAACAATTGAAATGTACATTATCATTGTATAAACGGGCAGAAAGTGCGTGATATCTGTCAGGCGAAACGTTTGACTGTAAAATTGATATCTTTCCAGCTGGTTGTGATTAAGGTTTCAGAGCTGAAATCCGTTTTGCATTTTTAAAATATACATTTTTGTAACTGTGTTTTGTGGGTATGGCAACGTACACTGTGAGCATAGCTCCTCCACACGATGTTAGCAGCAACTATTGATAAAGTACTTTCTCAGATGAAACGAAAACTAATATCATTTAAAAAAAAAAAATAAATAAAACTTCTAAAACAAAAAAAAAAAACAACATCAAACACAATGTTAAGTTAGTGGAATCATATTGCAAATGTTATTGCTTCTCGGTGACTTTTAATTGTTTTGAATCGACGTGAATAGAACGTTTACAGCACATGCCATTTATTCAGATTCTGTTACACGTTTAATGGCTTTATGCTTCCTTGGGAGGAAATCAGATCAAAAACAGGGTAACACGTTCTTTGCACAGAAAAAAATATAGTCTTAATGAACCATACACCGAACTTGGCTTTGCAGGATTTTTTTTATGATGATGGAAATGTAATATCATATAATCAGGTTTTTTTCACGTTTGTTCTATCGATGGGCAATGTAGAATCCTCTTAGTTTCACTCAGTCAGAAAGAACTGTCATACGCATGGATGCCGTTTTGACATGCATCAACACCTTTATATCCCCTGCACACTTTAGGCGGAATGAGCCGGAATGCTGTTGGAACGAAAATTCCTGGAGATTCCTGGAAATTCTAAAACTTCTTACTGCATTCCGAATGCATTCCAACCTTTCGGGTCAATTCCTGTAACGTGCCCGAATGTTTTGAACATGTTCAAAACCTTCGAGGTACATTCGAAGTGGAAAAATATCTGACTGCATTCAAACTATTCTTAAGTATTTCGATTGCAGTTGGAATACAGCTCGAATGTACCTCGAATACACCTCGAATACAGTCAGAACGTACCGAATGCTATTCAAATGAGCCCATTCTGACGTAATCAGAACACCATCTCCCGATCGCCTAAAAATATTTCTTTCTGGCTGACTGAAACGTCAGATAGCATTGGAGGGAATCGCATTCTTACAAAGCATCAGTTGATGAAGACGTTTCGGTGTAGATGCTAACACCGTTATCGTCACTGGATAGTCAACTTGTTGCAACGGTGTAACATTTACACATGAACACCGTTATCGTCACCCTTGACAATACACAGAAGTCCCATCCCTTGTCTATCGATAAAAATTGTTCCTCTTCATTTTTGGAGGGGCGGTGGTGTAGCCCAATGGTTAAAGCGTCCGCTCGACACGCTGAAGACCCGGGTTCGATTCCCCACATGAGTGCAATGTGTGAAGCCCATTTCTGGTGTTCCCCGCCGTGATATTGCTGGAATATTGCTAAAAGCGGCGTAAAACCATACTCACTCACTCACTCATTTTTGGTTTGTTTTATCATTAGTCATCATCAAACATGGACGTACAATTTCTTCTGATCGGCAGTTTAGTCTGTGAGCGTTTCCCTGCTGTATTCAGTAACTATGTACCTCAAAATTTGGTGGTTTGTATTAATTCTGTAATATTTAAATTACGCGAAGGAGTTTATGCATAATCGAATCTGGACCAGACAGGCCAGTGATTGATATCACGAACACGGTACGGTGCCAGTACGATGACACTTCGATGACATTAAGTTGACACTAAATCAGCCAGACCACCTGATGCAGACACCTCTTACAACTAACACAGTCAGACCAACACCTATTCCTTTAAATGAAAACATTTCACTAAAACGCAGTTGCGAAATGATCTGAATAAATCATATTTTTTGGTATTTTTCCACCAGCTGATAACAAACACACTTCTGACTTTCGATCCAGCGGAAATTTTCGGAGCTACTTTAAAAAAGTTGTTTTCCCTGCAAGGAGGAGCGAAACATGAACCTATTCACATCACAATACTTTTGATGACATCGAGCAAGGCTCGAATTTCCTTTCCTCCATTTTCAGGAAGAACTTTTTTTGTCTAAATAATTTGTCATCATCCTATCCTAACTATCGAATTCCAAGAAGTCTGTCCTTGACGAGTTCTCACAGACAAAAGAGCAGATATTTTTTGTAAAGTCTCACAAAATGTACAGCAATATAATAAAAAAAATAAGTAAAATTAATACATAAATAAACAGATAAAAACATATGCAAGACTCTTTGTACAAGTACGAAACTAAATACAAATGAGAATTTAATAATACATATTATTAACTTTAATAAATACTTTAAAATATCATGCTGTTGATCACTGGATTGTCTGGTCAGACTCGATTATTTACAGACCGCTGCCATATAGCTGGAATATTGCGGCGTAAAATTAAACTCACTCACTCACTCACTTTAAAATAAATAATCCACAATGTGTTTGTACCATAAATATTATATACATATTAACTTATTAAGAGTAGCTTGTAGTTTACACAGCTTGGTTGAACGACGGCTTATTCAACGCTAATATAATCGATGGTTGACATTACATAAACAAAACATCTCCGTATAAGTATGATCTTCATGATCAACTAGCGACAATACGATCTTCAAAATCAACAACACGACAGTACGATCTTCATGATCAACTAGCGACAATACGATCTTCAAAATCAACAACACGACAGTACGATCTTCATGATCAACTAGCGACAATACGATCTTCAAAATCAACAACACGACAGTACGATCTTCATGATCAACTAGCGACAATACGATCTTCAAAATCAACAACACGACAGTACGATCTTCATGATCAACTAGCGACAATACGATCTTCAAAATCAACAACACGACAGTACGATCTTCATGATCAACTAGCGACAATACGATCTTCAAAATCAACAACACGACAGTACGATCTTCATGATCGCAAGCGACAATACGATCTTCAAAATCAACAACACGACAGTACGATCTTCATGATCAACTTCATAATCGGCAAGACAATACGATCTTCATAATCAACGACACGACAGTTCATAATCGATCTTCATAATCGGCAAGACGACAGTACGATCTTCAACTAAGCGACAATACGATCTTCAAAATCAACAAGACGACAGTACGATCTTCATGATCAACTAGCGACAATACGATCTTCAAAATCAACAACACGACAGTACGATCTTCATGATCAACTAGCGACAATAAGATCTTCAAAATCAACAACACGACAGTACGATCTTCATGATCAACAAGACGACAATACGATCTTCAAAATCAACAACACGACAGTACGATCTTCATGATCAACAAGCGACAATACGATCTTCAAAATCAACAAGACGACAGTACGATCTTCATAATCAACAGTAGATCGACAATACGATCTTCAAAATCAACAACACGACAGTACGATCTTCATGATCAATTAGCGACAATACGATCTTCAAAATCAACAACACGACAGTACGATCTTCATAATCAGCAAGACGACAGTACGATCTTCATAATCAACAAGACGACAGTACGATCTTCATAATCAGCAAGACGACAGTACGATCTTCATGATCAACTAGCGACAATACGATCTTCAAAATCAACAACACGACAGTACGATCTTCATAATCAGCAAGACGACAGTACGATCTTCATAATCAGCAAGACGACAGTACGATCTTCATAATCAGCAAGACGACAGTACGATCTTCATAATCAACAACACGACAAATGAAATCTAATTAAAATGAAAGTCCTCGTGCCCTAGACATATAAAAGACACGAATTTTATGCTGACAAAGCAAGTTGCATGGAGTGTTGGAGATGTGTCCAGACAATTTGCCTTAGCATTTAAAACATTGATTCATATAATCTACTTGTCTGATATGGGTCTTGATGCGCGTATCGTCGTGTGCGTACATTCAATTACAACAAAAGAAAATATACACCTATATTTGGCGTATAAGTAAAATTCGGAATGGGTATTTAATAGTAATGTAATTTATGCAAGCATCGTACTTGAGTTTGGAACTTGTGGTTTGCAGGGTTTCGGCGTCCGGTTTCAATCTTGTAATCGTAATTTCTTGTGTCAATATAGCTTTTAATTGCATAATTTGTTTTTTTATTAACATATCGGGGTTCATATTTTCATACGATGCCCTAGGGCAAAATATCACTTTGTCATGGTGACGTGACGGCATGAACAATGCTATGACGTCACGTTTCTTCTGTGATGTTGCGTTCTATATGCGGCGACGGCGGGTAGACAGCCTATGTTTGAAAATAGATTTGGGTTATTTTCCTCAATTTCACGACTTCGATAATATACAGAATATTATATTCGTGCCCATATCATACTATGTTTACGACACTCGTGCCTAAATATCGGTATATCCCTCGCTCTCGATCGGGAAATACCAACATTTAGGCACTCGTGTCGCAAACATAGTATGACATGGGCACTCATATAATATCCTCTATATATTTATCATACTTGAAACTGATATTTTCACACATCGTTGGTGATATCGTTAATAGATGCTTGTATCAATCTGTTTTACCCCTAACACCCCAAGGATATGATATCAAGTTCATCTTGGACATCCCCAGACACTTCATGCATGTACAAGAACGAGCCGATGTCGCGAGCGGGACACGAGAAATATTCCCACGAGGCAAGCTCGCGACCGCTTCTGCACGTGTTCGGCTGACCAATACTGGACGCTTGACCGGTCACGTGAAACACAGGTATAACTCCGTACTTGGGAGGGGGGGGGGAGGGGCAAGGGCAGTGTGGTCAACCTGAAACGGACAGAGGGCCAGCTTGTATTGTGGTATCCTGACAATAGCACGTGAACATTCTGTCTGTGGTTATAAGATCAACTGGTGGTTCTGGAAGACGGGTGTGATCTCTGGAGGAATCAGCTTGCTTGTGCAATACGCTTCGAGAGGCGAACCAAGAACTCGACATGACTGGAGTAAAATCAGAAAGGGTAACTTTTATATTTTTATTACATGTAGCGAAAGCAATGTATGCTTTAATTAAACCAACTTATTATTTAAATTTATTTAAAAAAATAATTTATGAAAATGAATTTATGAATATTTTTGTCTTTGCTAATATAGAGGAGGTTTGTGTTTATAATTAATTTTTACACAGTGATAATGAAAACATTTCATTTTACAGATTCTTTTTATATTGATAATTTTGTTTTGGGTGTGAAACCAATACATACACAACCAACCATTCTTATATGACCAAAGTATGACACGCTGGGTATATATATATATATATGTATGGGTATATGGCAACCGTATAAGATACTGTGTGTTGTAAGTGTATGGAGGTAAATAACTGAACTCCCATTCAGTAAACGGTTTCCAATGACTGACAAATGAGTGATGTAACTTTGATTCAAAGTCAAAAAGATGTTTATTGTATGAAAGGCCTCCGGCCCATATACTAGTACATGAGAGTTACAGTGAGTTACAGAGTTCAGTGTCCTCAATACCCATGCTATATATACCATCTGTGGTAAATGTGATAAAGAGGTGTTTCAACGAACGTTTGAGCTGAATTATACATGTTCGATTCATTTATTTATTTTTTCTGTTTGATTTGTTTATTTATTTTCTGTTTACCAACCAGTAACCTTCATAATTTTACAAATATTGGAGCAATTAGATGACAGGGATATCTTCGCGTGTTTAACATGAAATGACACCAGTAGTCTTTTATTTGTTACGGATTTTGAAAATGAATGTGCATTCCGTTACTATGTACACAAAATTACTATACAAATGTTTGTATGTATGTATGTATTTAAAGGGAGCGTTTTTATCATAAATAGTGTACGCTATGGAAAATCTGCTTGATTGGCAATTTAGAAGTTGAAGAATAATAAGAAAAATATAACACTTTATGGATAACAACTTCTTTGTTTTATTATGATGCGACGTTTCGGAATAGCTTGTTTTACCGTTGTCAAGCAAGAGTGATACAAGTATAAGAAGCAATACCGAATCGTCGCATCATAATAAAGTAAAGAAGTTGTTATCCATAAAGTATTATATTTTTCTTACTGTGGAAAATGTCGGTTTTGTGTTCATTCGTTCATCACCAGAGGACGTAAAGCATATTGTTTGGTTACTGCGGCAAGAATGTAAGTAAATCATTCAGATGTGTTATGTGGTATTGGTAGTAGTTTATTATTACGTTTTTCATCATTATAAGAAATAGATATTATTTGTCTTAAAAACACGTAAAGGTAACATGTTGAAAGCTTAATTGAAACATACACGTTTAACATTGACATAACTATTATAGATCGATACGTCAAAAAGAATAGGGGGGCGGTGGGGTAGCCTAATGGTTAAAGCGTCCGCTCGACATGCTGAAGACCCGGGTTCGATTCCCCACATGGGTGCAATGTGAAGCCCGTTTCTGGTGTCCCCGCCGTGATTATAGATCAATAAAACTTCACTCACTCACCTCAAAGAATATTTATACAGGTGAAATATTGATAATTTACATATATTTTTTTTAGTACAAGATTTAAATTAAAATATATACATTTTAGCTTCTTATTAGTATTCAAAGTGATAATAATTTTGATGCATATTTGATGAACAAAGTTCGTTTAGTACAAATTATAAGGAGATTGATCATGAAGAAATACAAAACGACTGCACACAAACGACAACTCGACAGTACGTGTGTGTATTTGCACATGTGCGATGTCGGGTGTGACGTCATCCCGTCCACCTTATGACGTAATTGTTTGTACAATCACCATCCCTGTCTCTACCATACTTATCGAACAGTTTATTAACTTGATCACGTGTAATCAATAGTCAGGCAGAAAACGCTGGGTGAATCAAAAGAGGGATTAAGAAAAGAGGGGGTAAGGCTTTTTTACGAAGTCACGCGTGAATAATCGAGACGAGGGGAGACACGTGTTGTATATATATAATGATGAAATAGTGTATTTATCTTAAAATGTAAAAACACCATTTCATTCGAGTCAAATAACACTTAATGCCGGAACTACTTTCAGCCACTGATTCCGTGGTATTCAGTTTAAGCACGAACAAATATATTTGATAAACCATTTGTCATTTGACTTGAGAAATGATGAAAAGAAAAGGCAATCTGACAACTGACCCTTATAAGTATTTTCTTACAGGATGCATATACAGTATTAACATGAGTTTGTTTGTCGAAAGGTCACAAAGAAATACCGACATCTGAGATTGTGCATCGATTTCTGATGTCAAAATAGACATAGCATTTCTGGAAATAGCTTCAAAATCAATACAGAAATAAGAGAAGAACTGTCAGTAAAGAGGTTTCGTTTTCCTGTTATTTTAGCCTGATTAAATAAAGTGCAATTTGAGAATATCAAAACTTCAAGATTTCAGTATTAAATTACGTTGCTAAATGTGTTCTACCTTAAATCAGCCTGAAAAGGTCATTTCACAACATTAACTCTCTGACATTAGTCAGTCATTGATAATGAACATATTTCAGTCTCCACGACGTGTTTAATGTTTAGCTTGTAATAACGGTACATGACGGAGCTGGTCACGTGATGCTCAGGAAAAACTTAAAGCCACTAGAACCACACAAATAATGCATGTAGAGCAAGAGTGAGTGAGTGAGTATGGTTTTACGCCGCTTTTAGCAATATTCCAGCACCAGGGCCTAGATTTACGAAGCTCTCCTAGCGCTAAGATAGTCGTAAGTTAATGTTAATGTCTGGCACTTACGACTATCTTAGCGCTAAAGAGCTTCGAAAATCTAGGCCCTGCTTCACACATTGTACCTGGGAATCGAACCCTTCGGCGTGACGAGTGAACGCTTTAGCCACTAGGCTACCCCACCGCCCCGATTCAGCATAAGAAATGAGCCATAGCCACCTATGCTGACCTTGAGAGGCGACTAAATGGGTCGGTTGGTCAGTGTCGGTGATTTGGTTGATGCATGCCATCGTATCTTAGTTGCTTTTATCGACACTCATGACGTCAATCCCTGCACTGTCTGGCCGATTATGTAGATGGAATATTGCTCGGTGAGTGAGTGAGTTTAGTTTAGTTTAGCCACACTCAGCAATATTATAGCTATATGGCGGCGGTCTGTAAATAATCCAGTCTGGACCATACAATCCAGTGATCAACACCATGAACATCGATCTACTCAATAAGGAATACGATGACGTGTCAACCAAGTCAGCGAGCCTGACCATTCGATCCCGTTAGCCATCTCTTACGACAAGCATGGGTTACTGAAGATCAATTCTAACCCGGACCTTCACGGGTTATTGCTAGGTACGTCATTAAACAAACACATATAGTTGACAGAATATTTAAAGCAATGTGAAAGAACAGGTGCTTCTCAACTCCTTTATTAGTAATTGATTATGTAGTATATAAAACGGACCATCAGTCAAAGCAGAATATAAGCTGAAACCAATTAATACATAGAAACCGCTATCTAACGCCCTTAGGCAATGTGACGGTATGAACTCGACACCGTCTTTATGGAGTGAGACATCGAAACACCGCTGTTCTCTGGACAGGTTCGCTGGCCGCTGCTCAGGAGCGCAAAGGCTCACTTGCAAACAGACCAGTCTACACTTACGTCACACATGATATCTTGATATTCATCCTCAATACTTAGCGAGACTTCGAGGTGAGGAAATTTCATAGCGAAAGACGATCCAATCTGAGCTTGTCGTTCGTTTGCTACTGATTATTTGGTCAACAGTGCTATTAGTGAATTCTGCGGTACATTCTATAGAGTATTTCCTAAAAAATGGTATACAATATAAACAGCGGGGCGAGGGAAACAAACAGCCGTGTTTGACGGTGGATAACAAACGGAACTTGTGTTTTTGCCGGAGATGGATTTGATACGGGTATCAGAGGCGATATCAAATGAATCTTATCAATATATATCTCACAACAAGTCACTCAGTTGAGAGCGTTTGTAGTATTTTTGTGCGTGTGTTCAAATCGAATTTTAAGCGTATGCTTGATTTTGACCTTCAGTTTATACGCACATTATGGAAGTGGCAAGATTTCTTAGATGTTCAAATAATAGACAATAATGAATATTTCCGTGAGATAAAAAGTGCTTTAAAGTTTGTTTAAACATTTGAAATATGGTTTCAAATAACGATCTACTTGATTTATATTGATATAATTCGGCTTTCCAATATTTAAACTATTTTTTATTGTGATAGATTTTATTGCACAGGAAGTATACCACCTCGAACGTCTTTCTCACGAAATAAAACTACTCGCACCTATGATCCCCGTAATTATCCCGACCTAAACTGTTTCTTAAGTCAGCGATACCATCAATTCGATTTTCCGGCGTACTGCACTTAGTGGGTTGAGAATTAGAGGCGTTATCCAAACTAAATTACAATGCCGAGGTGTTTACAATGATATCAAACGAGCGCCGCCGAATGAATGCCGGAATTGTACGATGATTAGTAATTAATCGTCATCAATCGGCTGTTAACGGCTAAGCCGAACTCCGTGTGGGGCGGGGCTCACCCTAGCGCGGGGGTGACGTGGGTATAGAAATGGGAGGGTCCGCCTGTAGGGAGCTGTGTTTTGGTGCCTGAATACATTGATTGAAAATGGGTGAATTCCAATCATTTGGGATTTTACACGGTGAATGTCCCCCATACATGGATAGTCTTTAATTATTGTATTAATCGGGCTGTGATCAACAAGTGCTTCCACTGTCGAACAACTTGATGAGGAAAAAAGCGCAGAAAGGATGTAGGGATGATGATTAGTCGACAGTTCAACCAGAAGTACACCCACCACTCAATAGCATCCCCCCTAAACACACACGTATCAGAGCTTTAAATTTAACCTCATGATATCTCTAACAGACAGAACCTAAACTTCCGGGCAAAAGAAAGTTTGTCTTGAAAACTGGAAGTGGCCAAAAATTTACAGACATTTCTAGACTGAAAACAGTCACCAAAACACTGCAAAGTTTAGCTGTGGTTCACTTACATCACCATCGAATAACCATTTCTTGTTTAACCATTTTCGTGTTTCATTGCAAACGTAAGGTCCAAAACACGGCCATGATTCCCTTATGAAAAGTTTCACCATTGAAAAACCATTTCTTGATTGTTTCTTTACAAACGTAAGATTCAAACCACGGTTTTGATTCCCTTATGAAATGCTTCACCATTGAATAGCCATTTCTTGATTGTTTCATTACAAACGTAAGATTCAAACCACGGTTTTGATTCCCTTATGAAATGCTTTCACCATTGAATAGCCATTTCTTGATTGTTTCATTACAAACGTAAGATTCAAACCACGGTTTTGATTCCCTTATGAAATGCTTCACCATTGAATAGCCATTTCTTGATTGTTTCATTACAAACGTAAGATTCAAACCACGGTTTTGATTCCCTTATGAAATGCTTTATGCTTCACCATTGAATAGCCATTTCTTGATTTAATTCATGCTATCAGTAAGATTCAAACCACGGTTTGATTCCCTTATGAAGTGCTTTACCACTGAATAACCATTTCTTGATTGTTTCATTACAAACGTAAAATTCAAACCACGGTTTTGATTCCCTTATGAAATGCTTCACCATTGAATAGCCATTTCTTGATTGTTTCATTACAAACGTAAAATAGCCATTTCTTGAGTATTCAAACCACGGTTTTGATTCCCTTATGAAGTGCTTGTACCAAATGTGAATAGCCATTTCACCATTTGATTGTTTCATTACAAACGTAAGATTCAAACCATTGTTACGATTCCCTTATGAAATGCTTCACCATTGATTAGCCATTTCTTGCATTTAAATGCCACTGAGAAACTGCTATCATTGTTTGTCAATGATATGTCATGAATCGATGGTCGGTCACTTTCTTTTTTGTACGGTACGTGGCAAACGGTTTCCCATTGAAATAGCACCATTCTCCGTATATCCGTGGTTGGACGGCTATTTTTAGCGCCCTCCCATACGAATATGTTACAAAGCGACTAAGACTAATGCTTAGTCTCTGAATATATATAATTTTGATAGTAACAAACAAGCCCATGTAAATTGAAAAGGATCCCCAGGGAGACCAGAGATTCAGAACCTGAGGAAAGCTAGACTTGCATTATTTAGGGCTTTAGCACTGCAGAGAGGGCTTGGCAGTTGGGAAAATAATGTGGTTCAGGGACTGTGAGACAGACTAAAAGCGACTATGCCAAATGAGTTCAGTGTATATGTATCATAGAGGAATATAGGTGAGTTTGAGTGACTTTAGTTTTACGCCGCACTCATGAATATAGGTAAAATACTATACTGGATTATCAAGGATAACTTGTGTCCATGTGTTCACTCAGCAGTGAATGGGTACCTGGTAGAATGAGATGCTCAAATCTCGATTCTATTTCAGCGTCGTCAGAAGCCACTGATGGAGAGGAAGCGCCGGGCTAGGATCAACAGGAGTCTGGAACAACTCAAAGACGTCATCGTCGACAACAACGGCGGCATTGTGAGTAGTCACTGTTACTTCGTAAATTTCACTATCAGAATGGGACGTTGTTACGATTTCGGGTAGTATGAATAAATCCACGTTTTGAGAAGTAATATTCCCGTGCGCGATGGTTTATTATGAGCCCAGATTACAAAACCGTGTTACCATTTACCTCTCGGGACAGGGACGGTGGAGTAGCCTAGTGGCTAAAGCGTTGGCTCGTCACGCTGACGACCCGGGTTCGAATCCCCACATGGGCACAATGTGTGAAGCCCATTTCTGGTGTCCCCCGCCGTGACACTGCTGGAATATTGCTAAAAGCGGCGTAAAACTAAACTCACTCACACCTCTAGGGACAAGCAACAAAAAGAAACACACACAAAAAAAACTCCAAAAGTTTATTTACGTGTTTTTTAGATTCTTGAGAGGCATATAGAAGTTGGTATTCAAGTACAAAACACAATGTTATGGATGTCAACCTCTTCTTTGTTGTATACACAACGTTTCTGGGCTCTTCCTTGCCCCTTCGTCAGGTCATTCACATGACGAAGGGGCAAGGAAGAAGAAGAAGTTGACATCCATGATATTTGTCTGATACTACATGTTTGCTTTTTACAGTGAGCATGAAGCACACTAACCAACTATTGGGAATGTGTCTAAGGTATGTAACTTGATGTTTTTGTCTTCAGCTGCCCCGACTTGACAAAGCTCGCATCCTGGAGCTGACGGTGGATTACCTGCAGGCCAAGACACGGAATGGTCAGATAAGTAAGTAGGACATTCAGATTGTCTTGATAGGGGAATACGCGTGACACAGTAGTATAAGGGCCTTGAGTTCTCCCTATAGAGTTGTGTCCTTTAGACGTGCCCGAGTGAGCGAGTTGGGTTTAAGGACCGTTTGATTGTTTGATTGCTTGTTGTTTTACCCCGCGCTCAGCAATATTCCAGCTATATGGCGGCGGTCTGTAAATAATCGAGTCTGAACCAGACAATCCAGTGATCAACATCATGAACATCGATTGGGATACGATGACATGTGTCAACCAAGTCAGCTAGCCTGACCATCCGATACCGTTAGTCGCCCCTTACGTCAAGCATGGGTTACTGGAGATCAATTCTAACCCGGATCTTCACGGTTTGATAATAGCCTAGATTTTCATGCTTTTAACAGTGGTTTTGTTAGATTATGGCGGTGCGGGTCCCCGCCACTTACCTGCTGAAATGAAACCCACATATATTTGTCATCGCAACAGCAAAGTGCAAGTTGAAAATGATCTCTGTTTATTCAGGTGCTGGCGATGAACGTTTCAAGGCTGGTTACCTGAGATGTGTGAACGAGGTGACGTCATTCCTTCATGACAAGGTCGAGGACACCAGACTGACGCAAATCATCCAGCATCTCTTCACTCTCACTGCAAATATCAAGAGCAAGGTCAAGGCCACGAAGACACCAGCCTCAAGCGATGCAACATCATCAACAACAGGTTCAGGGTCCATGCTGGTGACTGAGGCCTCGACAACAAAATCCACACACGCTAGTCCTTCACTGGCATCAGAAGAAAGTATGAGGCCAAATCTCCATCTACATCAGAAGTTCACATCGAATATGACAAAAAAGGTCACGTCTGCATCGGCGTCGCTACTGCATAGCTCCTCTTCACCATTATCGTTGACATCATCATCACCATCACCATCATCATCAGCATCAGCATCAATCAAGACAGATGAAGTTCAATCTAAAGTGTCTGTCATTAAAAGAATGATGATACCAGATACATTATCAAAGGTCAGAGTTCAAGGTCATTCCATGACACTACCACCATCCTCACGTTGCACGGTGTCAGGAGACACACATCCTACAAAAGCTCCTCAACATTCATTTCGTAGCACACAATTCTTTAAATGGTTAAGGAAGCAAGAGCATCCGTCTCTAGGAACTTCATCACGGTTGCCAAACCTGACGGTAAGCAGGGAAGTAGTAAGGGCTAGTCGTGGCGCCTGTAGCAGGGAGAGCGGAGAAGAAAAACGCCCAGCTCCAAGAACAAGACGATATGGATCAGTATGCTCGGCACATTCCGCACAGTCCTCGACAGATTCCGACATCTCCGCAGACGACGAAGACGTCATCATGACCGACCGTCAAGGATCAGACGCTCATTTGCGGAAGAAGCTTGACGTGGGCCGTGACATCAGCTACGTCATGTCTGACTCTGACGACGACATTTCTGTAGAGTCAGAAGTGTTCACCATGGACTCTGAGGACGAGGCTTCCTCTGGTAACGATGCTCCTGGTAATAACGGTGACGTTGCTACGAACTCAAAGGACGCACAGCAAGGGGTCCTCGTGTGTGGTGACGCTGGAGACAGAGCGGAAGCGTCAAGGTCACCAGTTTGGCGCCCATGGTGACACCCCAGAAAATTAACATTTATTTATGTCCAAGATATTTTTATGGATTAAACTTCTTTTTAATTTCTCTCACGACGTTTCGAGACCATTCCAGGTCCCTTCATCAGGTGAACTCTGATGAAGGGACCTGGAATGGTCTCGAAACGTCGTGAGAGAAATTAAAAAGAAGTTTAATCCATAAAAATATCTTGGACATCAATGTACAACTTCTAAATGCCACTGAAAGACAACATTTATTTAGGTGATAGAAGATCTGTATATATACTTTGAATATGCCACGCATAAGAAATTTGGTTAAATGTTAATTAGGGTCATCTGCGCATTACAACCTGGTTGATATTATCATTGTTTTTTCGGGTTGCGTACTTAACTAATATCGATGCATGTCACAAGACCTACTACCCAGCAGTAAGGACAAAGATAATTAGTTTAGCAGTGGCAGTGTTTGCTCATTACGTCAACTGCTCATTACGTCAACTGCTCATTACGTCAAAAGCAGTAAGGACAAAAATCATTAGTTCAGCAGTGGCAGTGTTTGCTCATTACGTCAACTGTACAGGTTTGCTTCCCACAAGGATGCACTGGATTTATTTCACTTCTTCGAATCTCTGCAATGGTTTTACTGTAATACTACTTAGTGCTCACATATTTATTTCATAAGCTATTGAGAACACAACACAGGGCTACCAACTCACTTGTCTTCTGTAATTGTAGCACCAATATTATTACTATCATGATTATTTCCTATCGATTTTCCAATACTGTTAATTAAACCTTTAACTATATTTAACTTTAGGGTTTGAGTGGTCAGTCACTTATTTACAATATTACGTCTCTATGTATGACAATCGTAACGCTCGAGCAAACTACGTATTTAATTTGTTTAATATGCTAAAAAAATCAAATTGTGTGTATAGAACTGAAATGCATGACATTGTGTGCTTACAGTTATAAATAAAATCTTGCTAAATTGATTTGTTCAGTTAGATTTATGTCGTATGATGCGGGAGGTTTCAACTTGTAGCCACAGCGAAACCGGACGGTGAAAAGGTTCGGATTAACTAATGTCCGGATTAACGAATCATTAAGAGAACATCTTTCGCGTTTATTTCTTTTTTGCTTAACGCCGCACTCAGCAATATTCCAGCAATAAGATTGCGGTCTGTCAGACTAAGGCTTCGTCTTCAAAAACATAATAAAATATATAGGTTTTGTTTAAAATGTATTGTTTGAAATTATATAACTTGATCAAGTCACAATATGGCTGAAATTCTGCCGACGTGACTTCAACAAACTCACTCACTCACTCCAGGGTCAATCTGAACACAAGGCTAATATTTTCAAAAATAAAGTAATACTTTTATAATTTATATATAATTTTAAACTTATAAGAACGGGAATACGGTTATTCTACGAGTTTAAGTGTCCACAAATTCGCGACCCCTTCAGTTTCTCGCCTACGTTGATAAATATCACCTGTATCGGGTCGTTCATACACCTCTTTCAATTGCGAAACACCGGCAATGACAGGAGAAAATGTTTATGTTGTCAATTTCATGTTTACAAATATCTTCCCGGTATAATTTCCGACACTGGATATTTGCCATAATCAATAGGAACACTATCTCCAAATTTCCTCACGGACGCCACAAAGCTTTGAACACCACCGTCCTGTCATTCTATTCCCGCAAATTAACGGTTAACTGTACATCGATACCCCAACAAATAGCGTTTCAGTAAACGCGCACAAAACATGTCAGTCCAGTTTAAACCGCGTGCTAAACGACCTTAGGTCAGGGAGATCGGGTCACAGCGAGCTGTTGATGTTAAATCTGTTTCGTGTTTGTATAAACTGCCCGCACCCCCACAAGACGAACAGCGGCCCCTGATATCGATAGTATCAGTGATTTAGCCGGTGATTGCTTGTAATTTGAAGTGTCGAATATAAGCTCTTTTTGACACTTCGGAATGCTGATTACTGGAGAGCTATGGCGGTTTGACACCGCGGGGCGGCGCACGTGACAGTCCTGGAGATGATCCAGCTAAACACTGCCAATCCTTGACATCCCCTGGATTAATATCACTCACGAGGGATCCTTTTGTAACCAAGTTTTTATTTTGTAATTTTAGATTTGACAAGCGTTATCCCCCACAATGCTGCCAATGTACACTTAGGCGTATGACCGGCGTAGCTGAGATACCCGGATCAGAATGACCGGGTGTGGTGAGGTGAAATGGGGTTTAACGTCGTACTTGAGTATATTTCGCTCATATGACGACGTGCATGCGTGTGTATGTGTATGTGCGGCTGCTTGTACTAGCCTAGACTTAAGCTGGTTTTATAGTGCTAGCTCACTGAGATACCATGCCGCAGTTAAGCATGAATACCCCACTCAGACACATTATACTGACTCCGAGCCGACCAGTCCTTGTTGTACCCATTAATGCCGAGCGCCAGGCAAGGAACAACAAGTACCATATTTTAACGTCTTTTGGTATGACGCGGCCGGGGATCGAACCCAAAATGATCGGGAATGTTAGAAGGAATATAGTTGGGATCGTACAATGGTGTTTTTGGACGATTAAGGAAAGTTTTTTACAGCTTTTATTCAGAATGTCCAATGGTTCTTTAAACGAGTGAGTGAGTCATGTTTAACACCGCTTTGAGCAGTATTACAGTTATATCGCAGCGTGTCAGGGGTGGTGGGGTAGCCTAGAAGATAAAGAGTTCGCTCGTCACGCCGAAGACCCGGGTTCGATTCCCCACATGGGTAAAATGTGTGGAGCCCATTTCTGGTGCTAAAAGCGGCGTAAATGTATACTCACTCACTCACTCTGATGTCTGAGTCTAATTGCTGAAGCATTGTTAAAGCGAACTAAAACCTTACTCGGTCATTTAGTTCATTTGACTTATCTTATTGCAAAGCGAATGTCACTTCAATACCTTACGTGAATTTGAGACTACGTACAGAAAGTATCAATATAGTATTAAGAAATATGGTCAACACTGCGTAATTTATACGTCATACCACTGATTCATGGTTTCACATAACCAATTTCAAGTCTAGGTGTACATCATGTATTCAATATCTTCCGTGAATTTGAGACAACGCGTCTGAGTGAGAAAATATTCAACGTGACATCGGCAATATTTCAGCCATATCGTGAGGCGAACAATTTATACATGTACATTAAACATAAACGTATTACAGAATACATTGGTTGTTTTTAATACAATAACAATACAAGTTATCAAGATACCGTATTTCCTCTAATAAGCCCCAGCCTCCAATAAGCGCCGGGGATAAAGCAACTGTTCAAGAAGTAAGCGCCGGGAGTGCCACATGTTTACAATAGAATTTTCAAATAAAGTACCAATGGAGAATCTATATTCATTTCCGTTGAAACTTTTAGCGCCTGGTCTCTAATAAGCGCCGGCCCCTAATAAGGGAGTGCCACATGTTTACAATAGAGTTTTCAAATAAAGTACCAATGGAGAATCTATATTCATTTCCGTTGAAACTTTTAGCGCCGGGTCTCTAATAAGCGCCGGGTCTCCAATTAACGTCGGGTCTCTTATAAGCGCCGGGTCTCCGATAAGCGCCGGGCCACCAATAAGCGCTGGGTCTCTTATAAGCGCCGGGTCTCCAATAAGCGCCGGTCTCCAATAAGCGCCGGGCCACCAATAAGCGCCGGGCCAACAATAAGCGTCGGGTCTCCAATAAGCGCCGGGTCTCTAATAAGCGCCGGCCCCTAATAAGGGAGTGCCACATGTTTACAATAGAGTTTTCAAATAAAGTACCAATGGAGAATCTATATTCATTTCCGTTAAAACTTTTAGCGCCGGGTCTCTAATAAGCGCCGGCCCCTAATAAGCGCCGGGTCTCTAATAAGCGCCGGGTCTCCAATAAGCGCCGGGTCTCCAATTAACGTCGGGTCTCTTATAAGCGCCGGGTCTCCGATAAGCGCCGGGCCACCAATAAGCGCTGGGTCTCTTATAAGCGCCGGGTCTCCAATAAGCGCCGGTCTCCAATAAGCGCCGGGCCACCAATAAGCGCCGGGCCAACAATAAGCGTCGGGTCTCCAATAAGCGCCGGGTCTCCAATAAGCGCTGGGTCTCTAATAAGCGCCGGGTCTCCAATAAGCGCCGGGTTTCTAATAAGCGCCGGGTCTCCAATAAGCGCCGGGTCTCTAATAAGCGCCGGGTCTCTAATAAGCGCCGGGTCTCCAATAAGCGCCGGGTCTCCAATAAGCGCCGGGTCTTCAATAAGCGCCGGGTCTTCAATAAGCGCCGGGTCTGGAAAGATAACCGCCCGGGCGCTTATTAGAGGAAATACGGTATGTTGTATTTGTTAGACATATCCTTTACAGCAGCTATTACAAATGACACCCTGAAAGGGTCAAGATGACAGTGACCACATGGGATAGGACACAGTGGCCAAGGTCCGTGGTCATTGTGACAACATACAATGTCCGTGATGACACACTGTTCATTACTAACATCCTGAAGGGTCTACCCGTGAAGATCCGGGTTAGAATATTGATCTTCAGTAACCCATGTTTGTCGTAAGAGGCGACTAACGGGATCGGGTGGTCAGGTTCGCTGACTTGGTTGACACATGTCATTGTATCCCAACTCCGTAGATCGATGCTCATGTTGTTGATCACTGGATTGTCTGGTCCAGACTCGATTATTTACAGACCGCCTCCATATAGCTGGAATATTGCTGAGTGCGGCGTTAAACAAACAACCAACCAACCAAATCTAAAGGGTCCGTGGTGACAACATACACGTCCCACCTGGCATAGACACAGTATCTTACACAAATTGATGGCGTTGGCTCGTTGCTTTCAAATGTCTCGCTTGCATCCCAAAGTACACTGTCGTAAGGCTCTCCGTTGTTCTCGGTGCCCTTGGTTTGGTAGCTCCCGATCTCTTGGCGCAGATCAGGAGTGCACTCGGTTTCTCCATCGGGGCACAGCTCTTCTGACACTCTTGG